AATAGACAGTCAGCTCATTATCTCTTTTAGCTGATAACTATGAAGACTAAAATGGCTTTTTTTGCCTCTGGCTCACTTATATACCTTACTTGTGCTAAAGATGAAAAGAATGGCAGTTCTAGTTCTAAAGAAGAGGGTATCCCTGCTTCCCAAGATAGGTGCAGTGGAAGCTGTCATACAAGTTGACTTGAAACAAAAACTACAACTTAGTTGATCAAAGTGGCATATGTGTTCAGTCTCATGACAGAGCTCCCTGAAAGAACTTTAGGTTCTAGTCCTATCATCCCAGACTGCTATGAACCTGGTACCTGAGGGTTTCCTTACTGTAGTCCTCGAATCCCAATTTAAGTCCTCTTAAAGCTTGCTGTCCTCTGGTCTTCAGAGTCAGAAACCTAGTATTGCTAACTTCCCACAGCCATGACATTAGCTAGGAACAAGACAGGAGGAATCACAAAACATGTAAACTAAGCCTTCTCCAATAGTTGCCAGCAAAGCTAGGTTTCTGCAGACAGAGTGGGTACCAACAACTGCAACATGCAGTGTTTTCCATGTGTCCTTTACTACATGTGTGTTTAGTGAAACCAGGAAATAATCCTACAAGCCTAGAACTAACTATACTTGGGATGCCCAGCTCATTAGCATACATTGGCTGCTTCAAGCATATGTATAAGACTTCCTCTGAAAGCCAGTTGGGGCTGAGCAGGAGCTCTTAGAATCTGCATGCTCTCTTTTTAAAGTGTGGTCCTCCTTGTGTGCTATTCTTGAGAGGTTCATATAATCAAATGTACTACTCTTCACAAACATGCATAGCAGAATGGCCCACAGTAATAGTTATTCAGATTGCTATCACAGTGACCAATCTGTGCTAGTGGGCTGTCTCCATCAACCCATGCCAAAAGAGAAGCAAGATGTGCAGGCTGAGAATTGCACACATTCAGATGCTCACTTCTTACTAAGAACTTGAATCCCACTGAGTCATGACACAAAAAAGATGTAACACCTATAACTAGAGTGGAAAGTCAACTGATCTGTTGAAGTCTGAGTTTTAAGGGAACACCTGAAATAGAATTAATCAGCTAGAAAGAGAAAAAAAAGCCACTTGTGTTGTATTTAGTGAGAGGGAGAAATTTCTTTAGCCACTACTTCTTTTTCTTCACAATCACATGTTCAAACCACAACCCAATGAGCCTCCTTGTCAGTAACATGGGGCATTTGCTTTTGATGGGGTGGTAAATTGTTTTTACATTTGTAAAACCTCATTCCCTTGATGATCTCTAGTCAGAAGTGTGACTGTAGTTTATATCGAACAAATGTTTTAGTTTTAAGATGTTAATACTAAAATTGAGCTCTTTCTAACTACTGCTTAGAAAAAGACATTTGCAAATGTCTTTTTTGATTGTAAGAATCACATCAATTCCAGATATTGTGTAAGTGATATTATAATTATGTATCTATTATATCCACAGTCTGAGACCATTCAGGACACAGATAAATGTCTAGAAATACTATACAATCAAACTACAGCTAACAAAAAAATTATTTTACAATAGTTCAGACATTGGTAGGAAGTCAAAAGAAAAGTTCACATGTTCTGATTACTTATGCCTAAAATGTGCTAAAATGGAATATTTGTGACCCAAGCAGCCAAGATATACTGGAGAAAACTATAAGCTACTACATATTGAGTTCACTTTTTATCACAGTAGTCTATTTGAGAAAGCAATACCCACAGGAATATGGGACTGGAATCTATTCAAAGCAATAGCTGTCAAAAGTTCTGCCAAGATTTAAAAAGTAACTTACTGTATCATCAAAGGTGAGGCATTAGAATGGTTTGAGAATATTATTTCCCCTCAAATTTTACGTTTTTACTTAAATTTGAGAGAAATGTCTAGACCTAAAGCTCCTTAGAAGATGCTTTCATACTTAAAGACCACTTAAGTCAATAAGATTCAACATGATAAATAGAACAGGCTTTCTACTCTATTTTTAATATTGACAGAGGACTAGGTTGGAATCTATAAAATCAGACTAGCATCCCAACTCTACCACTAGCTATCTATTTCTGTGGCTTCCTGGGCCAAGAGCTCCCAGTTCTTGGTTGTAATTTCCCATGCTAGCTATAGAGAGAAACGATGACCCTGCCTAGCTCTAATGTTCACATGGGCACAGCTGACTCCTTTCTCAATTAGTCCCAAACATTTGTCTGATACTTACAAAGCGCTTAGATCTTTCCAAATAGAGCAAATATCTGCCTTGATTATCACATTACACATCCATTTTTGCTAGTTACCATTTGGGTTTTGCTTTAGGTCTATGGATTCAAAGGTGGCCACATGCTGCATGCCACTTACAAGAGATGCTAACGACCCCAGTAAGCCCAAGATCAGTTCCTACTGTGCTTTCTTCTGTAGAACTGGAGGATCCCCACGAAGTAAGACCATTGAGCAACAAGGCAATTAAACCCCCATGAATGGAGACCGTGTTAACCTTCATTCTGTACAATTCTGCCCAACTAGCAAATCTACACTTCATCAGAGAAGCTTCTTTTGCAACAGTGATTAACTCCAGAGCAGTTTTATAGGTGATTTCAATGTGCTTGCCTTCCTATATCATATTAAAGACTCTGAAAAACAGTATTAAGTATTGTAACCCTAAAAGTGCACATTCTAAGAAAACACAGAAATAAAGGATGAATACTAGTCATACCATTACATGTATTTAGATAGAAACAAAAATATTTCCTTTTAAAAATCTAATTCTAAGCAACCAATGGATCAAAATTAAGTCCAGCTAAGAATACTCTGTGTGTTTGTGTTTGTGCGTATGTGTGTACTATTGGTGGGTATTTTAATACAATGCCTAAATGAAAATATTGGTGATGGGCTGCAGGTGTGACCCAGAATTTGCCTAGAATTAATGATGTCCTGGGTTTGATCCCCAGCACCACAAGAAATATATTGGTGAGGTTGTGAAACTCAGAAGGCCTTGATTGCCCAATGCAAGTTTTATCCTTTAAGGAAAACAAAGCCAACAAAATAAAATTCCAATGTCTTCACCCAGTTCCCTGTGTCATTTATTGCATGGAGAAACAGCAAGTCCAAGTCAGTGTTTTTAAATGCACAGTACAGACTAATATTCCTTAGGTTGTGTCTCGTTGGAAGATATGAAGTGCTATCCCAAGTGAGGGCATATGCACTGAAGATTTTGAGATACAGTGCATATGTTAGTCTTTCCTGTATTGAATGTACCAAAGGCCAAACATTCTGTGAAACATCTGCATTCAGAACACTGTTGAAAATTTGTCACAGCCTCCACATCCCTGCATATGGGAAAAAGAAGTTATGTAGGAATTTGCACTGAACTATTCATAATCTTAGGAGGAGTTAAATTCATTCCCAAGCCCTCACTACAAGAACAACAGCAAAAAAGGCAGCCAAAAGAGAAAGGGAAATGCAGAAATAGTTCAAGTTTCATGACTTTCCAAATCAAATCAGTTTCAAATCCTTAAATATGCATGGAAGAGATTCAACAATTTGTTTTTCTTTGGAAAAACATCATCTGTTTGAACCCTTCTCCTCTGTTGTTAAGCTACTGATAAAGCTTGCCAAAGGAACAGGGAAGTATTAAATAAATGCCTATTTTTACTAAACACTTTCAGCTCTATTGAAATCAACAGCTTAATCTTACATATTATAAATCCATCCAAAACCATTTCAAAAACTACCTTGTGCACACCACATCCCACTAGCGAAAGAATGAGTAAGTTGGCAAAATGCACAAAAGACAGTATACCATGCTATAAGTCTCTCAAAGTAATGCTAACATTGGAATGCCCTGTTGAGGATTGGTGAACCAGGGACCCTGTGACCCTAAAGGTCAGTCATTTCCTACTTTCAATTGTGCTATGCTACTAAATTTCTACAGGATACTGGCTTTCTGCAATTTGGGCTTGCTTTATATCACTTCCACTAGAGTTAGCTGAGATCCCCTGAACTGTATATAAAGCCAATACTTCCCAAGGGCACACTTTACAGAGAACAAATAATCATAAAGCTAGTGGGAGGATTGTGTTTTTTTTTTTTCATTATGTCTTCAGACATAACACACTGGAAATCCAGGCCAAAATAAAGACAACAACAACCAGGATTGTCAGAGAGTTGGTAGCATTACCCTTCCCGTCTCAGCCTGGATACCTGGATTCAACAACAAATAGGTAGCAGTCCAGATACTCATATATGATGGGTGGTTTCTAAGCTCATGCATTTACAGAGATGTTATCCCATGCAGGAGAAAAGTAGTGATCTGGAAACTATTTCATTTGACCAGGCCAGAGAATTAAAGTAGATTGTGCTTGCCCCCAAAATTTACATGGAAAGGATTTCATTATCTAGGTTGATGGCCTAGATTGGCCAAATTGAACAGTTCATTGCCCAAATCTCCACTTCACAGAGGTGTAAAGACCAATTCTGATATTTAATAGAAAATGATAGTCATGTGTTTTTATAGCTGATATAATATCATGAACATGGCACTAGAGAAGCATTTTGGCATATGGATGAAGAGGGCACAGTGCCAATGTAAATCTGATACTTTAATTGTATTTCAGCTTTTGTTTTCATTATCATCATGCCTAATACTGTCCAGTTGGAATCTACATTATTTAGGAAACCAACCGACTGTATGTAACATACATACAAGAATAAAACAAGTAGCCTGGTATTCCATTATTAGGTTCTGTAAAAATTATAAATTCTTTAAGTAAATATGCTCTGAGTTATTTGATAAAAGACCAATTTTAGTAAGGAGAAATATTTAAAAGTGGTTAAAATGGGAGATAATTTCTGCTGATAAGTATAGTTTTTAAATGGTACTTAGGATTAAACTCGGGGTTTCCTGCATATCAGGCAAGCACTTTACCACTGAGCTATAACCCTAGCTCTCTTTTTACTTTTTAATTTCAGGCTGTGTCTCAATAAGCTTCTCAAGATGGCCTTGAACTTGTGACCCTCCTGCTTCAGTCTCCCAAGTAGCTGATAATTAAGATTTTAAGTGCAATAAGCAGTTGAAACCACTGTAAAACATGTAAGAGAAAGGCAAAAGAGAAAATAATACAGATTATATTGTGCTGCTCACAGCTTTTGACATTCAGACATATATGACAAATAGTTGGGCTCAAAACTCAAAAGAAAGATCTTGGCAGACAAGGTCACCCACTGTCACTCGAGCCTTGAGGATGTCACAACACTGTGACTGGACGAAGTTGTTCCAACTGGTTTTCTAATGCAATCCGTTCCTGATGAACCTCCTAAGATGTACAAAACAAGGGAAAGAAAAAGAAAAGGCATCATTTCTTAGATTCATCTCTATTTCCTTATACAGTCAAAGGAAATGCAGAACTGGACCCACAAACCCTCAGGGACACAGTGGCCTGGAAGGCACCATTTTCAATGCTGGTGATCAGACAAAGAGAGATTCACCATCACTAATCTATCAATGCCTTTCTAAAGATGATGAAATGCAACTGGTCAACTTTTCTTTGCATCCCTGCCTTAGTCTCACTCTGTTTTTATGGGCAGCAGAGAATGGCATTAAATAGTAAAAAAGCCAATGGGGGAGAACTAAAAGAAAAACCAGACTCCCAGTACAGAACTGTGAGTCACCTCAATTAAATTTCTAGTTAAAATCTCTGGCTTCTTTTCTTAGCTAGGGATGAAAGATAAAAAGATACCCTGGTCATCCTTCCACCAAAGTCTCTCGTCCAGGCTCTTGCACACAATACAGCTAGCTTAAAGTCATTTCTGGGTAAAAGGAAGAGAGGGACACTAATCTGCCATTTGGAAATTCAAACTATGTCTTTTTTTCTTTTATTAAATTTATTTATTTGACATCCTGACTGAAGTTTCCCATCTCTCACCTCTTCCCATTCTCCCCACACATACCTTGCAGCCACCCACCCTATCCATTCCTCCTCTGTCTCCATTCAGAAAGGGTCAGGATTCTCATGGATGTCAACAAAACATGGTATACAAGCTGAGGTAGGACTAAGCTCCTGCTGTCATATTGAGGCTGGGCAAGGAAACCCAATAAGAGGAATAGGTGCCCAAAAGCCTGCCAAAGCATTAGGGATAGACCCTGCTCCCGACAATCTTTCAGTCTTAAAACAGATTTTTCAGAGAGAAAAAGGATACATAAAGGCACTCAAGTAGAATAGGCCAAGGTGGGAAAGAATTCTTATGCAATTCTAAGATGTTCCAAAAAACCAACATACATTGGAAAACTAATGTACAGAACTCAATGTGTGTTCATTCATTCATACTCCTAGCAACCACCTTCTCTATCTGTCAGCTCTAGGTCACATGCTGCTCTAGCTATTATGATATTAGCAAAACCCAAGAAAAGGCAGGCCAGGACCCTTATAGGCTTCTATACAAATGGATAGTGAGATAATAAAATGAGCAAAGAAGACAGATTTCAGAGGAAACAAATGAGATGATGCACTGGAGAGCAAAAGAGTAGGGGGAGAAAGAAGAAAGTCTGACTAGGAAAGGTTGCTGAGAGGTGATGCAACTTGAGCAGAGACATGAATGAAGCTGAAGGCAGTACTTAAAACATGTGGGGTGTAAATATGCAGGGTGACTAAAAGACAACTTCAAAGGCCCTGAGGGAGCAAATGAGTTTTGTGAATGTGGTATACAAAAAGAATGGCGTTTGGTTGATAGAATGCTTGCTTTAAAGGGTTCCTTCCCCAGTACCACATAAACAGGCCATAGTGGCTTGTGCCTGGAATTCCAGCACTTAAGAGGATAATTAAAAGGAGTTCAAGGCCAACCTGGAATACATTAGTGAATCTGATGTCAGCCTGAGCTACATGAGATCCTGTCTCAATAAAACATAACTGAAAAGAAACAAAAAGAACAATGAATGAGGCTGATCTACACACGGGAGCAAAGGCAAATGGGTGGAACTAGAAGAAACCATCCTGAGTAAGGTAACCCAGTCACAAAAAGACAAACATGGTAGGCCCTAACTCATATATGAATTTTAGACATAGAGCAAAAGATTGCCAGCCTACAATCCACACCGCCAGAGAAGCTAGTAAACAAGGAAGACCCTAAGAGAGACATGCAAGGTCCCCTGGAGAAGGGGAAAGGGACAAGATCTCCTGAGCAAATGGGGAGCATGGGGGAGGGGAGGTGGAGTTAGGAGAATGAGACGGGGAGTAGAGGAAGGGTGAGGAGGACATGATGGGGCAGGGAGGTTGAGTTGGGGGAAGAATAGAAGAAAGCAAGATAAGAGATACCATAATAGAGGGAGACATTTTAGGTTTAAAGAGTAATCAGACACTAGGGAAATGTCTGGAGATCTACAAAGATGACACCAACTAACAATCTAAGCAACAGAGGAGAGGCTACCTTAAATGCCCTCCCCTGATAATGAGATTGATGACTGACTTATATGCCATCCTATAGCCTTCATCCAGCAGCTGGTGGAAGTAGAAGCAGATACCCACAGCTAAACACTGAACTGAACTGGAATCCAGATGCAGAGAAGGACGAGTGATGAGCAAAGGAAACCCACAGAAACAGCTGGCCTGAGCATGGGAGAGCTCTTGGTCCGCGGACTGATAGCTGGGAAACCAGCATGGCACTGATCCAGACCCCATAAACGTGGGTGTCAGTGAGGAGACCAGGGAAATCTATGGGGCACCTTGTAGTAGATCAGTACTTGAGAGGCTACTTTAAATGCCCTTCTCCGATAATGAGATTGATGACTACCTTATATGCCATCCTAGAGCCTTCATCCAGTAGCTGATGGAAGCAGAAGCAGAAACCCACCGCTAAGTACTGAGCTGAACTCTGGAATCCAGTTGCAGAGAGGGAGGAAGGATGGGCAAAGGGATCAAGACCAGGCTGAAGAAACCCACAGAAACAGCTGACCTGAACAAGAGGGAGCTCATGGACCCCAGGCTAATAGCTGAGAAACCAGTATAGGACTGTGCCAAACCCCCTGAACAAAGATGTCAGTTTGGAGGTCTGGTTAATATATGGAGCCTCTGGTAGTGGATCAGTATTTATCCCTAGTACACGAATGGACATTGGGAGCCCATTTCACATAAAGGGATACTCTCTCAGCCTAGACACATGGGGAGGGTCTAGGCCCTGTTCCAAATGATATGACAGATGTGAAGATTTCCCCCATGGAAGGCCTCAGCCTCCCTGGGGAGCAGAAAGGGGATAGGACAGGATAGGATTGGGGCCGGAGGGGACAGGGGAGGAGGGGAGGGAGAGGGGACTGAGACTGACATGTAAAACAAGCTTGTTTCTAATTTAAATTTTAAAAAAGGAAAAAAAGAGATCAAAATACATTATCACTTCAAAAGATTACTGAATGATTTTCCAGGGTGAGGGTACCATTTTGCAGTCTCACCACCAATGCATGAGATTCCAGTTGCCTTCCACTGATGGTGCCATTTTCATATAGTAGTAGGTAATCCTAGCTTAAATTGTAATTTTACAAGTGGCTAATGACTACCATCTCATGTGTATATAAGTCATCCTTATATACTCTTTGGTGAAATAGCTGTTCCAGTCCTTTGCCAGTTTTAAAAGTGAGATGTTTGCTTTTTAGAGTTCTTTTACTTTTTAAATTTTTATTTAAATTGTTTTTATACAATATATTCTGATCATAATCCTTACACTACCCAACTCATTCCAGATCCTTCCCACTTCTCTACCGACCCAACTTCATGTTCTTCCTCACTCTCTCAAAAGGGAAAAAAAAAAAAACAAACAGGAAAAAGAACAAAAAAAGAAAGCCAAAAGAGACAAACTGAAAGAAAGAAAATCAATAAGACAAAAATAGGAAAACAAAGACACAAAGACACACACACACACTTCATTTTTTGTTTAGCAACTACTCCTGGGCATGGGGCCTTCCCTGGAGTGCGGTCAATTTACCCAGTGAAGCTCCATTGGAGAAAGCTGACTTTCACTTTCCCAGCAGGCATCAATTGCAAATAGCTTCTTCTTCTTTTTTTTTCCGACTCTGTGTAGCTTTGGAGCCTATCCTGGCACTCACTCTGGAGACCAGGCTGGCCTTGAACTCACAGAGATCTGCCTGCTTCTGCCTCCCGAGTGCTGGGATTAAAGGTGTGTGCCACCAACGCCCAGCACAAATAGCTTCTTAATTAGAGGTCAGAGTTTGTGTTCACTTTCCCTTCTCCATGTTGGGATTTTTGTCTGGCTTGGACATGTGCAGGCCCTGTGTGTGCTGTCATCATCTCTGTGAGTTCATGTGTGCATCAGTCTTGTTACATCCGGAAAATGCTATTTCCTTGGAATTATCCACCACTTCTAACCCTTAGAATCTTCCCACCTCCTCTTCTACATAGATTCCTGAGCCCTGGAGGGGAGGAGCTTGATGAAGACATCCCATTCAAGAATGAGTGTTCCAAAGTCTCTCACTTTTTGTACATTGTCTAGTTGTGGGTCTCTGTTAGTTCCCATCTGCTGCAAGAAGCTTCTCTGATGAGAGCTGAGTGAGACATCGATTTATAGGTATAGCAATATGTCATTATTAGTTATTGTATTGCTATGTTCCTTTAGCAGAATAACAGTTGTAGGTTTCCCCCCAGACCTCTCATTTTTTAAGTTTTAAAAGTTACTTTTTAATCAGAGCACCAGTTCTCTGTCAAATTTGTAACTTGAAAGTATTTCCTCCCCATCTGTAACTTGTCTCTTAATTCTCTAGTGTCTTTGGCAGAACAACAGTGTTTAATTTTAATGAAGACCAATACACTAAGTTATTTTCTTATAGATTATGCTTTTAGTCATTTCTTTATACTAAGGTCACGTCTAATCTCATGAGTTTTTTTCCTTTGTTTCATACTAAATGTTTTATAGCTTTATGTTTTCCATTTACAATGGTGAGCCATTTTAAGTTAATCTTTGTAGAATGGGTTGAGACTTAGATCAAAACCCTCTATTTGTTGCATACAGACGACCAACTAACTATTAAACATGTTGGGATACCAGCTTTTTGTTGGGTTGGTTTTGCATTATTGTCTTTTATCAAATGGCTTCATTTGTGTGATATATTTCAGAATTCTGATCTATGCACCACGCTCAGCACCATACTGTCTTGATTATAGCAGCTTGACAATGATTTCTTCATTTGCTCTTCCTATTCACATTGGTTTAGCAATTCCAAGTTCCTCGGCCCTCACATAGAAATTTTTGGATCAGCTTATTTGTATTCATAAAAAAAAATCCTGCTGGGATCTTAATTGGTATTGTCATGAATCTA